CCAACTACTACGACATCAGCTCCAACTTCATCTGAATCTCCAACTGAAACAACAGTTATAATTTCAGAAACTACAACACTTGCTTCGACAACAATGCCTACAACTTCAGAAACAACAACTGCAACTGAAACAACTATTACAGCATCAACATCCCTAACTGAACCTTCCACTACTACATTAGCTCCAACGTCCTCTGAAGCACAAAGTACAACAACAGCTCTGACCACAATGCCACCTGTAACCACAACTACTGAAGCTGTCACAACCACAAATGTTAGTCCAGAAACCTCAACTGTTGTTTCAACCACAATGTCTACAACTTCAGAAACTTCAACTGCACCTCCCACGACCACAACTACAGCTGAGCCCACAACATCACTTGGACTCACAACAACTCAAGCTCCCACAACCACAGTAGTAACTACAGAAACAACACCTCTTACTTCAACAATGGTGCCTACAACTTCAGAAAGTACAACATCAGAAACTACAGCTACAGCTTCAACAACCACAACTTCATTGCCAACTACTACGACATCAGCTCCAACTTCATCTGAATCTCCAACTGAAACAACAATTATAATTTCAGAAGCTACAACACTTGCTTCGACAACAATGCCTACAACTTCAGAAACAACAACTGCAACTGAAACAACTATTACAGCATCAACATCCCTAACTGAACCTTCCACTACTACATTAGCTCCAACGTCCTCTGAAGCACAAAGTACAACAACAGCTCTGACCACAATGCCACCTGTAACCACAACTACTGAAGCTGTCACAACCACAAATGTTAGTCCAGAGACCTCAACTGTTGTTTCAACCACAATGTCTACAACATCAGAAACTACAGCTACAGCTTCAACAACCACAACTTCATTGCCAACTACTACGACATCAGCTCCAACTTCATCTGAATCTCCAACTGAAACAACAGTTATAATTTCAGAAACTACAACACTTGCTTCGACAACAATGCCTACAACTTCAGAAACAACAACTGCAACTGAAACAACTATTACAGCATCAACATCCCTAACTGAACCTTCCACTACTACATTAGCTCCAACGTCCTCTGAAGCACAAAGTACAACAACAGCTCCGACCACAATGCCACCTGTAACCACAACTACTGAAGCTGTCACAACCACAAATGTTAGTCCAGAAACCTCAACTGTTGTTTCAACCACAATGTCTACAACTTCAGAAACTTCAACTGCACCTCCCACGACCACAACTACAGCTGAGCCCACAACATCACTTGGACTCACAACAACTCAAGCTCCCACAACCACAGTAGTAACTACAGAAACAACACCTCTTACTTCAACAATGGTGCCTACAACTTCAGAAAGTACAACATCAGAAACTGCAGCTACAGCTTCAACAACCACAACTTCATTGCCAACTACTACAACATCAGCTCCAACTTCATCTGAATCTCCAACTGAAACAACAGTTATAATTTCAGAAACTACAACACTTGCTTCGACAACAATGCCTACAACTTCAGAAACAACAACTGCAACTGAAACAACTATTACAGCATCAACATCCCTAACTGAACCTTCCACTACTACATTAGCTCCAACGTCCTCTGAAGCACAAAGTACAACAACAGCTCCGACCACAATGCCACCTGTAACCACAACTACTGAAGCTGTCACAACCACTAATGTTAGTCCAGAAACCTCAACTGTTGTTTCAACCACAATGTCTACAACATCAGAAACTACAGCTACAGCTTCAACAACCACAACTTCATTGCCAACTACTACGACATCAGCTCCAACTTCATCTGAATCTCCAACTGAAACAACAGTTATAATTTCAGAAACTACAACACTTGCTTCGACAACAATGCCTACAACTTCAGAAACAACAACTGCAACTGAAACAACTATTAAAGCATCAACATCCCTAACTGAACCTTCCACTACTACATTAGCTCCAACGTCCTCTGAAGCACAAAGTACAACAACAGCTCCGACCACAATGCCACCTGTAACCACAACTACTGAAGCTGTCACAACCACTAATGTTAGTCCAGAAACCTCAACTGTTGTTTCAACCACAATGTCTACAACTTCAGAAACTTCAACTGCACCTCCCACGACCACAACTACAGCTGAGCCCACAACATCACTTGGACTCACAACAACTCAAGCTCCCACAACCACAGTAGTAACTACAGAAACAACACCTCTTACTTCAACAATGGTGCCTACAACTTCAGAAAGTACAACATCAGAAACTGCAGCTACAGCTTCAACAACCACAACTTCATTGCCAACTACTACAACATCAGCTCCAACTTCATCTGAATCTCCAACTGCAACAACAGTTATAATTTCAGAAACTACAACACTTGCTTCGACAACAATGCCTACAACTTCAGAAACAACAACTGCAACTGAAACAACTATTACAGCATCAACATCCCTAACTGAACCTTCCACTACTACATTAGCTCCAACGTCCTCTGAAGCACAAAGTACAACAACAGCTCCGACCACAATGCCACCTGTAACCACAACTACTGAAGCTGTCACAACCACAAATGTTATTCCAGAAACCTCAACTGTTGTTTCAACCACAATGTCTACAACATCAGAAACTACAGCTACAGCTTCAACAACCACAACTTCATTGCCAACTACTACGACATCAGCTCCAACTTCATCTGAATCTCCAACTGAAACAACAGTTATAATTTCAGAAACTACAACACTTGCTTCGACAACAATGCCTACAACTTCAGAAACAACAACTGCAACTGAAACAACTATTACAGCATCAACATCCCTAACTGAACCTTCCACTACTACATTAGCTCCAACGTCCTCTGAAGCACAAAGTACAACAACAGCTCCGACCACAATGCCACCTGTAACCACAACTACTGAAGCTGTCACAACCACTAATGTTAGTCCAGAAACCTCAACTGTTGTTTCAACCACAATGTCTACAACTTCAGAAACTTCAACTGCACCTCCCACGACCACAACTACAGCTGAGCCCACAACATCACTTGGACTCACAACAACTCAAGCTCCCACAACCACAGTAGTAACTACAGAAACAACACCTCTTACTTCAACAATGGTGCCTACAACTTCAGAAAGTACAACATCAGAAACTGCAGCTACAGCTTCAACAACCACAACTTCATTGCCAACTACTACAACATCAGCTCCAACTTCATCTGAATCTCCAACTGCAACAACAGTTATGAAACGTGAAACCTCAACTACTGAATCCTCAACTCTTACTTTATCAACAATGTCTACAGCTTCAGAAAGTACAAGTTCACCTGCAACATCCACATTTAGAGTTTCCTCATCCATGATTGTCCCTTCCACTGCGTTATCACCTTCAACCTTATCTGAAGGTTCAAGAACATCAGCTCAAACTACAATGCCATCTGCACCAATAATTCTAACTGATGCTCAAACCACTTCAAATATTGCTACTATCATGACTTCCAGTTCGGTTACCACATACACACAAGTCGAAACCACAACTTCAACTCTAACTGTGTCTCCAGCTACATCAACATTAGCAACAACAGCATATAACTATCCCACAACTGAAACTCCAGCTCAAACCTCAGCTTTAACTCAAAGCACAGACACACCTACAGCAGCAACAACAACTGCATTCCAAATAACAACTGCACCTCTGTCAAGCACAACTATTGCTTTTACTAACACAGCTCCAGCTCTAAGCCAAACAACACTTACCAAAACAACTGCACCTCCAGTAATCACAACTGTGTCTCCAGAAAACATAACTATTGCTGTAACAATTATGTCTATCTCCACAATGCATGTAACTACATCCCCAACTTCAACTCCAACAAAAACAACTGAACCTCCAGGAACCCCAACTGCATCCATGAGAACCATGACTGCTTTTCCCACCAATACAATTACAGCTGATGTCTCAACTACAGTTCCAAGCACAACATCCACCTTTCCAAGCACAGGTCTGTTAAGCACAACTCATGCTCCAGCCACTTTGGCACTTTCAACTTCAGGCCCAACAACCAAAACTGTGTCTTGGGCAAACTTGAATTCAGAAACTACAACTGCATCAACAACTACAACTAGAATTATTACAAATACAGTAGAAATTCCAAATATTGTTCCAATAACAGTACCAGGTCTAGAAATCCAGAATATAGCATCTACAATTCCAGGTCAAACATCAATCAAAACAACACCATTTGCATCAGCAACATTTGAAAGTTCTTCAAGTTTGCAACCAGAAACTTCAAACATTCCCAAAACAGATCCATCATTAACTAATATGACGGGTACAGCAATAGTCACAACCAATCTTGTATTCTCATCCTTGTCATCAATGCCCACTGAGGCTCTGGTCCTCAGTGCTATCAACACTCTCCTGAAATCCAGACAGTCACAGCTCAATGAATCAGTGAAGGTGGCGAATGTCACCTATCAGAGTAAGTTTCATCATATTGAATTGAAAATCGTTTGAAATGATAATAACTAAGTCAAACAGTCAAGACTGGCAAGGTCTGGACAAATAAAAATGTACCTTTATTTCCAAACAGGAATCTCAGAAACCTCCTATGCCGTCGTCATTACATTTAAACTGATTAACATCAGCATGTCTGAAGTCCCTGAGCTCAGGAACAGCACTAATGTGCAAGTGCAAGATGTCATCAATAATGCAGTAAGAACTCAGAATTAAATGTATAAATGTTTTTGAGTACAGTAGAAATCTTTTAATGAAGTTTAATGAATTATTTGATTTTCACCTGCAGCTGAACACTCTTCTGAATGAACCTAGCAGTCCAAAATTTAGAGCCAATTCATCCAACTTTGTGTAAGATGCAAACTGACATCACAATCTTTATTTTTTCTGTTGTCACATTTTAATTTGTTAAAGCAATGGGAAATTAAAAACACACAAAAAAGTCAAAACCTTTTGAATCTGAATTGAACGGATATCTTCTGTTTGTCCCACAGGAGCTCTTCAAACCAGATTGATGGCAGAATGGAATACACCTTCCAGGAGGGAGATGCCATTCGACCAGTCAGCTTCCTAAATGAGCTTCATTTACAATTGGGTATGTCAATTATGATGATCTATGGCTTTACAAAATTCTAAAAGGTGAAAAAATATGTTTCTGTAAATCACAAAAGAGTAAGACTAATTGTTTGTTTTTACATTTAATTGTACAAGTGATCACTACAACAGTGTCTCCAGAATCAGCAACTGGGTCCTCTCTGGCTCCTCCAAACCTAATGTTAGTGTTGACTTTCCATTTTAAAAGAGCTCATAATCAGTCATGGAGTAATTTCATTGTACAAATGTGAAATGTATTAAACAAAAGTTGTTGTTTTTACAGATCTGGTTCAGCAGTGGTCACGAGCAAGCTGCTGTTCAACTCCTCATCTCCAGTCCCCAGTGAATCTCTGGTCCTCAGTGCCATCAACACTCTCCTGAAATCCAGACAGTCACAGCTCAATGAATCAGTGAAGGTGGCGAATGTAAACTATCAGAGTAAGTTTCATCATATTGAATTGAAAATCGTTTGAAATGAGAATAACTAAGTCAAACAGTCAAGACTGGCAAGGTCTGGACAAATATGAATGTACCTTTATTTCCAAACAGAAATCTCAGAAACCTCCTATGCCGTCGTCATTACATTTAAACTGAGTAACATCAGCATGTCTGAAGTCCCTGAGCTCAGGAACAGCACTAATGTGCAAGTGCAAGATGTCATCAATAATGCAGTAAGAACTCAGAATTAAATGTATAAATGTTTTTGAGTACAGTAGAAATCTTTTAATGAAGTTTAATGAATTATTTGATTTTCACCTGCAGCTGAACACTCTTCTGAATGAACCTAGCAGTCCAACATTTAGAGCCAATTCATCCAACTTTGTGTAAGATGCAAACTGACATCACAATCTTTATTTTTTCTGTTGTCACATTTTAATTTGTTAAAGCAATGGGAAATTAAAAACACACAAAAAAGTCAAAACCTTTTGAATCTGAATTGAACGGATATCTTCTGTTTGTCCCACAGGAGCTCTTCAAACCAGATTGATGGCAGAATGGAATACACCTTCCAGGAGGGAGATGCCATTCGACCAGTCAGCTTCCTAAATGAGCTTCATTTACAATTGGGTATGTCAATTATGATGATCTATGGCTTTACAAAATTCTAAAAGGTGAAAAAATATGTTTCTGTAAATCACAAAAGACTAATTGTTTGTTTTTACATTTAATTGTACAAGTGATCACTACAACAGTGTCTCCAGAATCAGCAACTGGGTCCTCTCTGGCTCCTCCAAACCTAATGTTAGTGTTGACTTTCCATTTTAAAAGAGCTCATAATCAGTCATGGAGTAATTTCATTGTACAAATGTGAAATGTATTAAACAAAAGTTGTTGTTTTTACAGATCTGGTTCAGCAGTGGTCACGAGCAAGCTGCTGTTCAACTCCTCATCTCCAGTCGCCAGTGAATCTCTGGTCCTCAGTGCCATCGACACTCTCCTGAAATCCAGACAGTCACAGCTCAATGAATCAGTGAAGGTGGCGAATGTCACCTATCAGAGTAAGTTTCATCATATTGAATTGAAAATCGTTTGGAATGAGAATAACTAAGTCAAACAGTCAAGACTGGCAAGGTCTGGACAAATATAAATGTACCTTTATTTCCAAACAGAAATCTCAGAAACCTCCTATGCCGTCGTCATTACATTTAAACTGAGTAACATCAGCATGTCTGAAGTCCCTGAGCTCAGAAACAGCACTTACGTGCAAGTGCAAGATGTCATCAATAATGCAGTAAGAACTCAGAATTAAATGAATAAATGTTTTTGAGTCCAGTAGAAATCTGGACTCAAAAACCAGATTTCTGGTTTAATGTATGGTTTAATGTAGATTTGAAGTTTAATGAATTATTTGATTTCCACCTGCAGCTGAACACTCTTCTGAATGAACCTAGCAGTCCAACATTGAGAGCCAATTCATCCAACTTTGTGTAAGATGCAAACTGACATCACAATCTTTATTTTTTCTGTTGTCACATTTTAATTTATTAAAGCAATGGGAAATTAAAAACACAAAAAAAAGTCAAAACCTTTTGAATCTGAATTGAACGGATATCTTCTGTTTGTCCCACAGGAGCTCTTCAAACCAGATTGATGGCAGAATGGAATACACCTTCCAGGAGGGAGATGCCATTCGACCAGTCAGCTTCCTAAATGAGCTTCATTTACAATTGGGTATGTCAATTATGATAAACTATGGCTTTACAAAATTCTAAAAGGTGAAAAAATATGTTTCTGTAAATCACAAAAGACTAATTGTTTGTTTTTACATTTAATTGTACAAGTGATCACTACAACAGTGTCTCCAGAATCAGCAACTGGGTCCTCTCTGGCTCCTCCAAACCTAATGTTAGTGTTGACTTTCCATTTTAAAAGAGCTCACAATCAGTCATAGAGAAATTTCATTGTACAAATGTGAAATGTATTAAACAAAAGTTGTTGTTTTTACAGATCTGGTTCAGCAGTGGTCACGAGCAAGCTGCTGTTCAACTCCTCATCTCCAGTCCCCAGTGAATCTCTGGTCCTCAGTGCCATCGACACTCTCCTGAAATCCAGACAGTCACAGCTCAATGAATCAGTGAAGGTGGCGAATGTCACCTATCAGAGTAAGTTTCATCATATTGAATTGAAAATCGTTTGAAATGAGAATAACTAAGTCAAACAGTCAAGACTGGCAAGGTCTGGACAAATATAAATGTACCTTTATTTCCAAACAGAAATCTCAGAAACCTCCTATGCCGTCGTCATTACATTTAAACTGAGTAACATCAGCATGTCTGAAGTCCCTGAGCTCAGGAACAGCACTTACGTGCAAGTGCAAGATGTCATCAATAATGCAGTAAGAACTCAGAATTAAATGTATAAATGTTTTTGAGTCCAGTAGAAATCTTTTAATGAAGTTTAATGAATTATTTGTTTTTCACCTGCAGCTGAACACTCTTCTGAATGAACCTAGCAGTCCAACATTTAGAGCCAATTCATCCAACTTTGTGTAAGATGCAAACTGACATCACAATCTTTATTTTTTCTGTTGTCACATTTTAATTTATTAAAGCAATGGGAAATTAAACACACACAAAAAAGTCAAAACCTTTTGAATCTGAATTGAACGGATATCTTCTGTTTGTCCCACAGGAGCTCTTCAAACCAGATTGATGGCAGTATGGGATACACCTTCCAGGAAGGAGATGCCATTCGACCAGTCAGCTTCCTAAATGAGCTTCATTTACAATTGGGTATATCAATTATGATGATCTATGGCTTTACAAAATTCTAAAAGGTGAAAAAATATGTTTCTGTAAATCACAAAAGACTAATTGTTTGTTTTTACATTTAATTGTACAAGTGATCACTACAACAGTGTCTCCAGAATCAGCAACTGGGTCCTCTCTGGCTCCTCCAAACCTAATGTTAGTGTTGACTTTCCATTTTGAGAGCTCACAATCAGTCATAGAGAAATTTCATTGTACAAATGTGAAATGTATTAAACAAAAGTTGTTGTTTTTACAGATCTGGTTCAGCAGTGGTCACGAGCAAGCTGCTGTTCAACTCCTCATCTCCAGTCGCCAGTGAATCTCTGGTCCTCAGTGCCATCGACACTCTCCTGAAATCCAGACAGTCACAGCTCAATGAATCAGTGAAGGTGGCGAATGTCACCTATCAGAGTAAGTTTCATCATATTGAATTGAAAATCGTTTGGAATGAGAATAACTAAGTCAAACAGTCAAGACTGGCAAGGTCTGGACAAATATAAATGTACCTTTATTTCCAAACAGAAATCTCAGAAACCTCCTATGCCGTCGTCATTACATTTAAACTGAGTAACATCAGCATGTCTGAAGTCCCTGAGCTCAGAAACAGCACTTACGTGCAAGTGCAAGATGTCATCAATAATGCAGTAAGAACTCAGAATTAAATGAATAAATGTTTTTGAGTCCATGCAGTAGAAATCTTTTAATGAAGTTTAATGAATTATTTGTTTTTCACCTGCAGCTGAACACTCTTCTGAATGAACCTAGCAGTCCAACATTGAGAGCCAATTCATCCAACTTTGTGTAAGATGCAAACTGACATCACAATCTTTATTTTTTCTGTTGTCACATTTTAATTTATTAAAGCAATGGGAAATTAAAAACACACAAAAAAGTCAAAACCTTTTGAATCTGAATTGAACGGATATCTTCTGTTTGTCCCACAGGAGCTCTTCAAACCAGATTGATGGCAGAATGGAATACACCTTCCAGGAGGGAGATGCCATTCGACCAGTCAGCTTCCTAAATGAGCTTCATTTACAATGTGGTATGTCAATTATGATGATCTATGGCTTTACAAAATTCTAAAAGGTGAAAAAATATGTTTCTGTAAATCACAAAAGACTAATTGTTTGTTTTTACATTTAATTGTACAAGTGATCACTACAACAGTGTCTCCAGAATCAACAACTGGGTCCTCTCTGGCTCCTCCAAACCTAATGTTAGTGTTGACTTTCCATTTTAAAAGAGCTCATAATCATTCATGGAGTAATTTCATTGTACAAATGTGAAATGTATTAAACAAAAGTTGTTGTTTTTACAGATCTGGTTCAGCAGTGGTCACGAGCAAGCTGCTGTTCAACTCCTCATCTCCAGTCCCCAGTGAATCTCTGGTCCTCAGTGCCATCAGCACTCTCCTGAAATCCAGACAGTCACAGCTCAATGAATCAGTGAAGGTGGCGAATGTCACCTATCAGAGTAAGTTTCATCATATTGAATTGAAAATCGTTTGGAATGAGAATAACTAAGTCAAACAGTCAAGACTGGCAAGGTCTGGACAAATATAAATGTACCTTTATTTCCAAACAGAAATCTCAGAAACCTCCTATGCCGTCGTCATTACATTTAAACTGAGTAACATCAGCATGTCTGAAGTCCCTGAGCTCAGAAACAGCACTTACGTGCAAGTGCAAGATGTCATCAATAATGCAGTAAGAACTCAGAATTAAATGAATAAATGTTTTTGAGTCCAGTAGAAATCTTTTAATGAAGTTTAATGAATTATTTGTTTTTCACCTGCAGCTGAACACTCTTCTGAATGAACCTAGCAGTCCAACATTGAGAGCCAATTCATCCAACTTTGTGTAAGATGCAAACTGACATCACAATCTTTATTTTTTCTGTTGTCACATTTTAATTTTATTAAAGCAATGGGAAATTAAAAACACACAAAAAAGTCAAAACCTTTTGAATCTGAATTGAACGGATATCTTCTGTTTGTCCCACAGGAGCTCTTCAAACCAGATTGATGGCAGAATGGAATACACCTTCCAGGAGGGAGATGCCATTCGACCAGTCAGCTTCCTAAATGAGCTTCATTTACAATTGGGTATGTCAATTATGATGATCTATGGCTTTACAAAATTCTAAAAGGTGAAAAAATATGTTTCTATAAATCACAAAAGACTAATTGTTTGTTTTTACATTTAATTGTACAAGTGATCACTACAACAGTGTCTCCAGAATCAGCAACTGGGTCCTCTCTGGCTCCTCCAAACCTAATGTTAGTGTTGACTTTCCATTTTAAAAGAGCTCATAATCAGTCATGGAGTAATTTCATTGTACAAATGTGAAATGTATTAAACAAAAGTTGTTGTTTTTACAGATCTGGTTCAGCAGTGGTCACGAGCAAGCTGCTGTTCAACTCCTCATCTCCAGTCCCCAGTGAATCTCTGGTCCTCAGTGCCATCAGCACTCTCCTGAAATCCAGACAGTCACAGCTCGATGAATCAGTGAAGGTGGCGAATGTAACCTATCAGAGTAAGTTTCATCATATTGAATTGAAAATCGTTTGAAATGAGAATAACTAAGTCAAACAGTCAAGACTGGCAAGGTCTGGACAAATATAAATGTACCTTTATTTCCAAACAGAAATCTCAGAAACCTCCTATGCCGTCGTCATTACATTTAAACTGAGTAACATCAGCATGTCTGAAGTCCCTGAGCTCAGAAACAGCACTTACGTGCAAGTGCAAGATGTCATCAATAATGCAGTAAGAACTCAGAATTAAATGAATAAATGTTTTTGAGTACAGTAGAAATCTTTTAATGAAGTTTAATGAAATATTTGATTTCCACCTGCAGCTGAACACTCTTCTGAATGAACCTAGCAGTCCAACATTTAGAGCCAATTCATCCAACTTTGTGTAAGATGCAAACTGACATCACAATCTTTATTTTTTCTGTTGTCACATTTTAATTTATTAAAGCAATGGGAAATTAAAAACACACACAAAAAAAGTCAAAACCTTTTGAATCTGAATTGAACGGATATCTTCTGTTTGTCCCACAGGAGCTCTTCAAACCAGATTGATGGCAGAATGGAATACACCTTCCAGGAGGGAGATGCCATTCGACCAGTCAGCTTCCTAAATGAGCTTCATTTACAATTGGGTATGTCAATTATGATGATCTATGGCTTTACAAAATTCTAAAAGGTGAAAAAATATGTTTCTGTAAATCACAAAAGACTAATTGTTTGTTTTTACATTTAATTGTACAAGTGATCACTACAACAGTGTCTCCAGAATCAGCAACTGGGTCCTCTCTGGCTCCTCCAAACCTAATGTTAGTGTTGACTTTCCATTTTAAAAGAGCTCATAATCAGTCATGGAGTAATTTCATTGTACAAATGTGAAATGTATTAAACAAAAGTTGTTGTTTTTACAGATCTGGTTCAGCAGTGGTCACGAGCAAGCTGCTGTTCAACTCCTCATCTCCAGTCGCCAGTGAATCTCTGGTCCTCAGTGCCATCAGCACTCTCCTGAAATCCAGACAGTCACAGCTCAATGAATCAGTGAAGGTGGCGAATGTCACCTATCAGAGTAAGTTTCATCATATTGAATTGAAAATCGTTTGAAATGAGAATAACTAAGTCAAACAGTCAAGACTGGCAAGGTCTGGACAAATATAAATGTACCTTTATTTCCAAACAGAAATCTCAGAAACCTCCTATGCCGTCGTCATTACATTTAAACTGAGTAACATCAGCATGTCTGAAGTCCCTGAGCTCAGGAACAGCACTAATGTGCAAGTGCAAGATGTCATCAATAATGCAGTAAGAACTCAGAATTAAATGTATAAATGTTTTTGAGTACAGTAGAAATCTTTTAATGAAGTTTAATGAAATATTTGATTTCCACCTGCAGCTGAACACTCTTCTGAATGAACCTAGCAGTCCAACATTTAGAGCCAATTCATCCAACTTTGTGTAAGATGCAAACTGACATCACAATCTTTATTTTTTCTGTTGTCACATTTTAATTTGTTAAAGCAATGGGAAATTAAAAACACACAAAAAAGTCAAAACCTTTTGAATCTGAATTGAACGGATATCTTCTGTTTGTCCCACAGGAGCTCTTCAAACCAGATTGATGGCAGAATGGAATACACCTTCCAGGAGGGAGATGCCATTCGACCAGTCAGCTTCCTAAATGAGCTTCATTTACAATTGGGTATGTCAATTATGATGATCTATGGCTTTACAAAATTCTAAAAGGTGAAAAAATATGTTTCTGTAAATCACAAAAGACTAATTGTTTGTTTTTACATTTAATTGTACAAGTGATCACTACAACAGTGTCTCCAGAATCAGCAACTGGGTCCTCTCTGGCTCCTCCAAACCTAATGTTAGTGTTGACTTTCCATTTTAAAAGAGCTCATAATCAGTCATGGAGTAATTTCATTGTACAAATGTGAAATGTATTAAACAAAAGTTGTTGTTTTTACAGATCTGGTTCAGCAGTGGTCACGAGCAAGCTGCTGTTCAACTCCTCATCTCCAGTCGCCAGTGAATCTCTGGTCCTCAGTGCCATCGACACTCTCCTGAAATCCAGACAGTCACAGCTCGATGAATCAGTGAAGGTGGCGAATGTCACCTATCAGAGTAAGTTTCATCATATTGAATTGAAAATCGTTTGGAATGAGAATAACTAAGTCAAACAGTCAAGACTGGCAAGGTCTGGACAAATATAAATGTACCTTTATTTCCAAACAGAAATCTCAGAAACCTCCTATGCCGTCGTCATTACATTTAAACTGAGTAACATCAGCATGTCTGAAGTCCCTGAGCTCAGAAACAGCACTTACGTGCAAGTGCAAGATGTCATCAATAATGCAGTAAGAACTCAGAATTAAATGAATAAATGTTTTTGAGTACAGTAGAAATCTTTTAATGAAGTTTAATGAAATATTTGATTTCCACCTGCAGCTGAACACTCTTCTGAATGAACCTAGCAGTCCAACATTGAGAGCCAATTCATCCAACTTTGTGTAAGATGCAAACTGACATCACAATCTTTATTTTTTCTGTTGTCACATTTTAATTTATTAAAGCAATGGGAAATTAAAAACACACAAAAAAAGTCAAAACCTTTTGAATCTGAATTGAACGGATATCTTCTGTTTGTCCCACAGGAGCTCTTCAAACCAGATTGATGGCAGAATGGAATACACCTTCCAGGAGGGAGATGCCATTCGACCAGTCAGCTTCCTAAATGAGCTTCATTTACAATTGGGTATGTCAATTATGATGATCTATGGCTTTACAAAATTCTAAAAGGTGAAAAAATATGTTTCTGTAAATCACAAAAGACTAATTGTTTGTTTTTACATTTAATTGTACAAGTGATCACTACAACAGTGTCTCCAGAATCAGCAACTGGGTCCTCTCTGGCTCCTCCAAACCTAATGTTAGTGTTGACTTTCCATTTTAAAAGAGCTCACAATCAGTCATAGAGAAATTTCATTGTACAAATGTGAAATGTATTAAACAAAAGTTGTTGTTTTTACAGATCTGGTTCAGCAGTGGTCACGAGCAAGCTGCTGTTCAACTCCTCATCTCCAGTCCCCAGTGAATCTCTGGTCCTCAGTGCCATCGACACTCTCCTGAAATCCAGACAGTCACAGCTCAATGAATCAGTGAAGGTGGCGAATGTCACCTATCAGAGTAAGTTTCATCATATTGAATTGAAAATCGTTTGAAATGAGAATAACTAAGTCAAACAGTCAAGACTGGCAAGGTCTGGACAAATATAAATGTACCTTTATTTCCAAACAGAAATCTCAGAAACCTCCTATGCCGTCGTCATTACATTTAAACTGAGTAACATCAGCATGTCTGAAGTCCCTGAGCTCAGGAACAGCACTTACGTGCAAGTGCAAGATGTCATCAATAATGCAGTAAGAACTCAGAATTAAATGTATAAATGTTTTTGAGTCCAGTAGAAATCTTTTAATGAAGTTTAATGAATTATTTGTTTTTCACCTGCAGCTGAACACTCTTCTGAATGAACCTAGCAGTCCAACATTTAGAGCCAATTCATCCAACTTTGTGTAAGATGCAAACTGACATCACAATCTTTATTTTTTCTGTTGTCACATTTTAATTTATTAAAGCAATGGGAAATTAAACACACACAAAAAAGTCAAAACCTTTTGAATCTGAATTGAACGGATATCTTCTGTTTGTCCCACAGGAGCTCTTCAAACCAGATTGATGGCAGTATGGGATACACCTTCCAGGAAGGAGATGCCATTCGACCAGTCAGCTTCCTAAATGAGCTTCATTTACAATTGGGTATATCAATTATGATGATCTATGGCTTTACAAAATTCTAAAAGGTGAAAAAATATGTTTCTGTAATTCACAAAAGACTAATTGTTTGTTTTTACATTTAATTGTACAAGTGATCACTACAACAGTGTCTCCAGAATCAGCAACTGGGTCCTCTCTGGCTCCTCCAAACCTAATGTTAGTGTTGACTTTCCATTTTGAGAGCTCACAATCAGTCATAGAGAAATTTCATTGTACAAATGTGAAATGTATTAAACAAAAGTTGTTGTTTTTACAGATCTGGTTCAGCAGTGGTCACGAGCAAGCTGCTGTTCAACTCCTCATCTCCAGTCGCCAGTGAATCTCTGGTCCTCAGTGCCATCGACACTCTCCTGAAATCCAGACAGTCACAGCTCAATGAATCAGTGAAGGTGGCGAATGTCACCTATCAGAGTAAGTTTCATCATATTGAATTGAAAATCGTTTGGAATGAGAATAACTAAGTCAAACAGTCAAGACTGGCAAGGTCTGGACAAATATAAATGTACCTTTATTTCCAAACAGAAATCTCAGAAACCTCCTATGCCGTCGTCATTACATTTAAACTGAGTAACATCAGCATGTCTGAAGTCCCTGAGCTCAGAAACAGCACTTACGTGCAAGTGCAAGATGTCATCAATAATGCAGTAAGAACTCAGAATTAAATGAATAAATGTTTTTGAGTCCAGTAGAAATCTTTTAATGAAGTTTAATGAATTATTTGTTTTTCACCTGCAGCTGAACACTCTTCTGAATGAACCTAGCAGTCCAACATTGAGAGCCAATTCATCCAACTTTGTGTAAGATGCAAACTGACATCACAATCTTTATTTTTTCTGTTGTCACATTTTAATTTATTAAAGCAATGGGAAATTAAAAACACACAAAAAAGTCAAAACCTTTTGAATCTGAATTGAACGGATATCTTCTGTTTGTCCCACAGGAGCTCTTCAAACCAGATTGATGGCAGAATGGAATACACCTTCCAGGAGGGAGATGCCATTCAACCAGTCAGCTTCCTAAATGAGCTTCATTTACAATGTGGTATGTCAATTATGATGATCTATGGCTTTACAAAATTCTAAAAGGTGAAAAAATATGTTTCTGTAAATCACAAAAGACTAATTGTTTGTTTTTACATTTAATTGTACAAGTGATCACTACAACAGTGTCTCCAGAATCAACAACTGGGTCCTCTCTGGCTCCTCCAAACCTAATGTTAGTGTTGACTTTCCATTTTAAAAGAGCTCATAATCATTCATGGAGTAATTTCATTGTACAAATGTGAAATGTATTAAACAAAAGTTGTTGTTTTTACAGATCTGGTTCAGCAGTGGTCACGAGCAAGCTGCTGTTCAACTCCTCATCTCCAGTCCCCAGTGAATCTCTGGTCCTCAGTGCCATCAGCACTCTCCTGAAATCCAGACAGTCACAGCTCAATGAATCAGTGAAGGTGGCGAATGTCACCTATCAGAGTAAGTTTCATCATATTGAATTGAAAATCGTTTGGAATGAGAATAACTAAGTCAAACAGTCAAGACTGGCAAGGTCTGGACAAATATAAATGTACCTTTATTTCCAAACAGAAATCTCAGAAACCTCCTATGCCGTCGTCATTACATTTAAACTGAGTAACATCAGCATGTCTGAAGTCCCTGAGCTCAGAAACAGCACTTACGTGCAAGTGCAAGATGTCATCAATAATGCAGTAAGAACTCAGAATTAAATGAATAAATGTTTTTGAGTCCAGTAGAAATCTTTTAATGAAGTTTAATGAATTATTTGTTTTTCACCTGCAGCTGAACACTCTTCTGAATGAACCTAGCAGTCCAACATTGAGAGCCAATTCATCCAACTTTGTGTAAGATGCAAACTGACATCACAATCTTTATTTTTTCTGTTGTCACATTTTAATTTATTAAAGCAATGGGAAATTAAAAACACACAAAAAAGTCAAAACCTTTTGAATCTGAATTGAACGGATATCTTCTGTTTGTCCCACAGGAGCTCTTCAAACCAGATTGATGGCAGAATGGAATACACCTTCCAGGAGGGAGATGCCATTCGACCAGTCAGCTTCCTAAATGAGCTTCATTTACAATTGGGTATGTCAATTATGATGATCTATGGCTTTACAAAATTCTAAAAGGTGAAAAAATATGTTTCTGTAAATCACAAAAGACTAATTGTTTGTTTTTACATTTAATTGTACAAGTGATCACTACAACAGTGTCTCCAGAATCAGCAACTGGGTCCTCTCTGGCTCCTCCAAACCTAATGTTAGTGTTGACTTTCCATTTTAAAAGAGCTCATAATCAGTCATGGAGTAATTTCATTGTACAAATGTGAAATGTATTAAACAAAAGTTGTTGTTTTTACAGATCTGGTTCAGCAGTGGTCACGAGCAAGCTGCTGTTCAACTCCTCATCTCCAGTCGCCAGTGAATCTCTGGTCCTCAGTGCCATCAACACTCTCCTGAAATCCAGACAGTCACAGCTCAATGAATCAGTGAAGGTGGCGAATGTCACCTATCAGAGTAAGTTTTATCATATTGAATTGAAAATCGTTTGAAATGAGAATAACTAAGTCAAACAGTCAAGACTGGCAAGGTCTGGACAAATATAAATGTACCTTTATTTCCAAACAGAAATCTCAGAAACCTCCTATGCCGTCGTCATTACATTTAAACTGAGTAACATCAGCATGTCTGAAGTCCCTGAGCTCAGAAACAGCACTTACGTGCAAGTGCAAGATGTCATCAATAATGCAGTAAGAACTCAGAATTAAATGTATAAATGTTTTTGAGTACAGTAGAAATCTTTTAATGAAGTTTAATGAAATATTTGATTTCCACCTGCAGCTGAACACTCTTCTGAATGAACCTAGCAGTCCAACATTTAGAGCCAATTCATCCAACTTTGTGTAAGATGCAAACTGACATCACAATCATTATTTTTTCTGTTGTCACATTTTAATTTGTTAAAGCAATGGGAAATTAAAAACACACAAAAAAGTCAAAACCTTTTGAATCTGAATTGAACGGATATCTTCTGTTTGTCCCACAGGAGCTCTTCAAACCAGATTGATGGCAGAATGGAATACACCTTCCAGGAGGGAGATGCCATTCGACCAGTCAGCTTCCTAAATGAGCTTCATTTACAATTGGGTATGTCAATTATGATGATCTATGGCTTTACAAAATTCTAAAAGGTGAAAAAATATGTTTCTGTAAATCACAAAAGAGTAAGACTAATTGTTTGTTTTTACATTTAATTGTACAAGTGATCACTACAACAGTGTCTCCAGAATCAGCAACTGGGTCCTCTCTGGCTCCTCCAAACCTAATGTTAGTGTTGACTTTCCATTTTAAAAGAGCTCATAATCAGTCATGGAGTAATTTCATTGTACAAATGTGAAATGTATTAAACAAAAGTTGTTGTTTTTACAGATCTGGTTCAGCAGTGGTCACGAGCAAGCTGCTGTTCAACTCCTCATCTCCAGTCCCCAGTGAATCTCTGGTCCTCAGTGCCATCAGCACTCTCCTGAAATCCAGACAGTCACAGCTCAATGAATCAGTGAAGGTGGCGAATGTCACCTATCAGAGTAAGTTTCATCATATTGAATTGAAAATCGTTTGAAATGAGAATAACTAAGTCAAACAGTCAAGACTGGCAAGGTCTGGACAAATATAAATGTACCTTTATTTCCAAACAGAAATCTCAGAAACCTCCTATGCCGTCGTCATTACATTTAAACTGAGTAACATCAGCATGTCTGAAGTCCCTGAGCTCAGGAACAGCACTAATGTGCAAGTGCAAGATGTCATCAATAATGCAGTAAGAACTCAGAATTAAATGTATAAATGTTTTTGAGTACAGTAGAAATCTTTTAATGAAGTTTAATGAATTATTTGATTTTCACCTGCAGCTGAACACTCTTCTGAATGAACCTAGCAGTCCAACATTGAGAGCCAATTCATCCAACTTTGTGTAAGATGCAAACTGACATCACAATCTTTATTTTTTCTGTTGTCACATTTTAATTTGTTAAAGCAATGGGAAATTAAAAACACACAAAAAAGTCAAAACCTTTTGAATCTGAATTTAACGGATATCTTCTGTTTGTCCCACAGGAGCTCTTCAAACCAGATTGATGGCAGAATGGAATACACCTTCCAGGAGGGAGATGCCATTCGACCAGTCAGCTTCCTAAATGAGCTTCATTTACAATTGGGTATGTCAATTATGATGATCTATGGCTTTACAAAATTCTAAAAGGTGAAAAAATATGTTTCTGTAAATCACAAAAGACTAATTGTTTGTTTTTACATTTAATTGTACAAGTGATCACTACAACAGTGTCTCCAGAATCAGCAACTGGGTCCTCTCTGGCTCCTCCAAACCTAATGTTAGTGTTGACTTTCCATTTTAAAAGAGCTCATAATCAGTCATGGAGTAATTTCATTGTACAAATGTGAAATGTATTAAACAAAAGTTGTTGTTTTTACAGATCTGGTTCAGCAGTGGTCACGAGCAAGCTGCTGTTCAACTCCTCATCTCCAGTCCCCAGTGAATCTCTGGTCCTCAGTGCCATCAGCACTCTCCTGAAATCCAGACAGTCACAGCTCGATGAATCAGTGAAGGTGGCGAATGTAAACTATCAGAGTAAGTTTCATCATATTGAATTGAAAATCGTTTGAAATGAGAATAACTAAGTCAAACAGTCAAGACTGGCAAGGTCTGGACAAATATAAATGTACCTTTATTTCCAAACAGAAATCTCAGAAACCTCCTATGCCGTCGTCATTACATTTAAACTGAGTAACATCAGCATGTCTGAAGTCCCTGAGCTCAGGAACAGCACTAATGTGCAAGTGCAAGATGTCATCAATAATGCAGTAAGAACTCAGAATTAAATGTATAAATGTTTTTGAGTACAGTAGAAATCTTTTAATGAAGTTTAATGAATTATTTGTTTTTCACCTGCAGCTGAACACTCTTCTGAATGAACCTAGCAGTCCAACATTTAGAGCCAATTCATCCAACTTTGTGTAAGATGCAAACTGACATCACAATCTTTATTTTTTCTGTTGTCACATTTTAATTTATTAAAGCAATGGGAAATTAAAAACACACAAAAAAGTCAAAACCTTTTGAATCTGAATTGAACGGATATCTTCTGTTTGTCCCACAGGAGCTCTTCAAACCAGATTGATGGCAGAATGGAATACACCTTCCAGGAGGGAGATGCCATTCGACCAGTCAGCTTCCTAAATGAGCTTCTTTCAGGTTTGTCAAAACAGACAATGAATTGCTCGACAGACACCAAATATCGCAAGCATCCTCCACTAATCATTGCTTTATTTTACAGTCTTTACAATAGCCACCACTCTGACACCAAGCACAACTTCTCCACGGACTTTGTAAGAGCAATAATTCTAGTCTGATCTTTAAAATTTCCATTTTCATTTTTTTTTCTTAATGTGTATTATTTATCATCTTTGTAGGCTTGGCACAGTGATTATATATATACGCCTTGTGTTCGTCGTACCTGGCTCCCTACCAAATGAAAAGGATATTCTTCAGGTGGCCAACACTCAGCTGAACTCGCTTCCCGCAACTAAACTAAACACCAGAACAGAAGCCCTGAGTGATCCTGTGAGCTTTGTGAATGTCACATATACGAGTACGTTTTTCTTTCCTCCTTTGGCTTCTTTTTGTTGTGAATTATGTCATTTTTGAACGCTAATGCCTTACATCATGTAGATCTGTAGTAGGCTAATATAGCTGATTTTGAAGGAAAATAGTCCATTTGGAATTCCTTAAAGAATGCATAAGTGAAATTTTATACTATCCACATATACTACCACACTACTAATTATTTTCCTTATATATTTTTAAGAAATTAATGAGACCGCCTATGCTCTCAACTTCGGATTTGAAATCAGCAATGTGACCATGTCTGAGAAACCTGAATTCAGGAAGAACACCTACCTGTCAGTACAAGACTCTGTAAATTTATTGGTGAGTTGGACACATTTCAATACAGTGGTCTTTTACAAAAAGTCATTATTTTAACCACATTGATCTGAAACTATTTGATCACATTTTTTTGCTGCGCTTTTCAGCTGAACAAGATCCTAACTAATGCCTCAGCTCCTGTAGTTAATTTCCAACCAGGCGATTTCACAGATTTCATGTAAGTTCTGAAATTTGAGCAAATATGTTCTGATAAAAAAATAATAAAAAAACTTCTTTGGTGTTAGTTTTTGTACACGAGTAGGTGTCTAAACATAATTTTTCAGTTTTTAACTTTCATTTCTAATTGAACATTTTAATTTCCCTACAGGGATAATTCCACGACGATTAAGGCCAATGTTACGTATGTTTTCTCATACCGTAACAACACGCAACCTAGCCCCTTTATCCAGCAACTTCTCCAGGTTAACGAAGGTATTACCATACACCCTACAGTCTTAAACAATCATTTAAATGGCCAAACTGACAGTCAGATGTTACATTAACATTTAAGGTGTCATGTTTTATGTCTTGCACCAAAAACACCAAATACTGTAATTGAAAGTCTAATTCTCCTCCTTTACTTGTTATTTTCTTTTAACAGCGAGCATTCCGACAACCACAACTCCTCCAAAACCGTAAGTCCAACGAGTCCAAGCATCAATTTTGTGAAATCCAGTTGTTTTCATTTTCTATGTTTACATTTTCAATTATTTATCATCTTTTTTTTATTTATTTCAGGATCAATAACGTGGTTATTAAGATTCGTCTTGTGTTTGTCACACTGGGCCCAAGACCAAGTGAGAGTAAAGTTCTGCAGCTAATTAATTCTCTGCTGGCCTCAAATCTCACAACTAAACGAACCGCCAAAACAGCAGCAGCAGTAATCCCAAAAGACCCTGTGATCAAGACAGGTGTCACCTATTCGAGTGAGTTTTTCTTCTTTATGTGCTATTTTTGTGTGTGTGAATATAACATTTGAATGCAAATAGTGTACATCTGGCACACCTGTAGTAAGCTTTTATAGCTTCTTTAGAAGGAAAATAATCAATAATTATGCATAATTATGAATGAGAATGGATAATGACATTTTTTCCACCCACACATACAACTAATTATTTTTGTTATGTCTTTAAGGTATTAATCAGACTGCCTATGCTCTCAACTTTGAATTTGAAGTCAGTGGTTTATCTGTGAATGATTCACAGAAGAATGAAGCCAATAATGAAATACAAACAAAGATAAATACCTTGGTGAGTTGGAGAGGCTTGGATATTGCGGTCCTTCAAAAAAAAAAAAAAAAACCCTGATATTAAAATTGCCTTATTATAATCACATTAACTGCTATTCTCTATATTTATTGCTGCATTCTTCAGGTGATGCAGATCCTACAGAATCCCTCAGCAGCTCTTACATTTATTCCAGCCAATTTCACGTGAGTTCGGATCCACTATTTAATTTGTTGAGCAGAAATGTCTAAATGATTTTAAGAAATCTGCTTTTGCCAGTGGGATGATTTTGATACATGGGTGAATGGCAAAATAATGTTTAGTTATTTATTTTTTGTTTCTCATTGTACGTTTTAATCTCCCCACAGTGGTTCACCGAATTCCTCCGTGCTTGTGGCCAATGTTACCTATGTTTTCTCAGAACGTGACGGTGGATTTGCAGCTTTTGGTCGCTTGGTCACACAACTTTTCTTAACCTTTACCACACCTGCTCCAACCACCACAACAACCACAACAACCTCAAACAACGGCACAAACATAGCATGGATTGTGGGGATCATTGTCCCTGTGGCTATTATCCTCGGGCTTATACCTTGCTGGATTCTCCTTTGCGTAAGTTTTATGATGACTGAAAGTCAAAAATGTGCATTGGTAGTGAAGTGATTCATGATAACACGGATTTTTTTCTCCTTTGATCTGCCTTTTAAATGAGGTTTATAATTGTATAGCTGAATAAAAACGTTTTAAAGTGTAAAGTGTTCTCTCTCAGGATGTTAACTCTCATTTTGTCTGTTTATGTCTTTAGTGTTTACTCTGTGGATGCTGTGCAGCAGTCAGAAGACGTTGGCACAGAAGACAGTCGTACAACGTACAGTACACCACTCGAAACAGCCTCTTCTAGAGATATTTAGAGAGCAAAAACAGGACTGAACACCAATGAAAACATAACTATAATCAATTTAAGCCTTGCATTTTGGATATTCAATACTGCCTCCTTTGTAGTAATGAATGTATTTTATTAGGCCTTTATTGCTAGACAAATGGGAACTCCATAAAATGTTTCTAAATGTGATTTATTTTATTCTATCTATGTAGTGTATAATGAAAATATATTGATTTTATTTATTTATATTTATTTATAATATTCCGTTTACAGTTAATTAATAATCATGTGACATTGTATTGAATTTAAAGGGACAAAGGGAATGTACGATATTCCATGCACTTTATAAATGCAAAGCAAATGTGGATTCTGCAAGTCATGGACATCTTGCACTGCAAAAACTAATAAAAATACTAGATGTATCAATAGAAAAGTTTGTTTTTCCTCTTTGTATTGTAAATATAAAGATGGCTTATTATTGGCCTTAGTCTTGTGCATCAAAGTAGTTTATAGACAATGTTAAAGTGTTTCTCAGCTGTTCCATTAGGTGGAAATCATGTTTAATAACCTTCATAACTTATTAAAGCTCTATTTAACTAAAAAGTTCTAAATTAATGAATATCTTCCAACCATTGTTTTAAGGTTTGTTGAGGTTAACATCATCATTGCTCAAATCATGCTTTATGTCAGATGTGCAAAAACATAGCAGTCAGTAGGCCGCTGTGGTCTGTTTAGCAATAAGTGGTAAGTACTCCGGGAAAATAGGAAGATTAAAAACTGTCAAGCAACTTCTATTGGACCACTTTAGATATAAATTTCACAATAAGGCTGTATCAAACACTACTTGCATGTAGTTGCCATGCATTGAGTGTGACAACTGTTGGCAATGGTTTTTGAACATCCACGTATAATTTTTCTTGTTGCATTTATAATCTATGTAGGCTATTTTATGAGTGGATAATATGGTTTTCTTTTAAGGCAAGATTTTTTGTATTACAAGCTTTCTGAATTGTTATGTTTACATATGCAAATAACGCATTATCTGCATAAAGCATTATCCATCTTAACTATCAAATTAGCAAGAGTTCAGAACAGAAATCTGAACATTGAATAAAGCCAGGTTCAACATTCTTGTTTCATTTTGTTATCATCAGAGTTTTTACAGAGGAGATTTAGGATATCTTTTTTATTCATTCAGAAAATACTTTCAACAACCAGATAACAAAAAAAAATCACCTTGCTTTTAAAGAATGATTTTTTAATAAAATCAGGCAAATGACCAAACAACCCCCTCAGCAAAACAAAAAAGGAATACGTGCATTTGAAAAAAATATATATTTTGATAATACAAGTGCAATAAAATTAACACTTATCTTAATATTGACTAGTGCATAAAAACAATAATGTTTTGCTTGTAGTTTCTTGTCTTAAAGGGATAGTTCAATGTGGTTTAATCTTTAAAAAATTTGAGTTTAATATTCCGGTCATATGATATAGTCCATATATCTGACGTATGCGGACATCAAATTTCTCAGTAGGATATGAGCTTTTATTTTAAAAATCCCAAACGGATGTTGTCGACTCATGGCCAGCTTCGCGTTTTGAGGAAGAGCTCCAGACCAGTACACACACAATCATTTGAACTGGCTCACTAATGTTAGCTTCATCAAAATAGATTTCAACACAATGGCAAATATATTAACGTTTCAAACGCAAATCGCTTCCGTTATGGAAGTTTTAGCAAACGCCGCTGTGGCAGAAATCTGCAAACTTGTTGAGGACAGCTATGCCGAATTACATCTTGAAATATCACAAACAAAAAATGAGAATAACCTCCTTAAAAAGAAATTGAAAACGATAGAAATCCGGGATTCATTTTATCGAAGAGCGCATAAACTGATGAACGAATCAACTTCTATGACCAGAACTAGTGTTCACGAAAAAGTGGCAGGTAAGGCTGATTGGAATGGGAATCATTCCGTTAGCAACAGTGGTGACAGCGGTTTTTGATAACTCCATTACATTGAATATATTGATAACTCATTGAGTATATTGTTCACGGTGAAGGTACTAGCAGCTATGCTTATTTCCAGGGCGAATCAGCTTGAAAGTCGCTTCGGTGTGTAATGTTGGCAGTGATGAAGAGGGATCAGTTCAGCCCGAAAGACTTGACCAGGTCTGCACAAACAATGAATGGAGTGTGTATCTCATTGCCTTAATCTCATCAAGAAACATTGTTTTATATATTTATTTTTTTTGTCCTCGTACACTGTCTGATACTCGTCAGTTAAAGGGTCAGTTCACCCAAAAATGAAAATTAACCCATATTTACAACTTGCCCTCTCAAGCCACCTTCACACAATCTGAGTTATATAAAATATCCTGGCTCTTCCAAGTTTTTTTAATGGGAGTCACCTGTCTTCCAAGGTTTATAATGGGAGTGAATGGTACCTTGTTTTTTGAAGCCCAAGTAGAGCTAGGTGAGAGTAGAGGCGTCTAATCTCACCTTTAGCTTACACTACTTTTACATCCTATGTCATATGTTGGGTCAGAGGTCACTCTTCCGCTGGAATTAGACTCGCGTACGGCTGTTACCGGAAGCCACTGATTATAGTTTCTAAAGTTATAAATATGGCTGAATATGTGGATGTGCTTTTTGGGTTTCAAAATGTAAGGTACCATTCACTCCCATTATAAAGCATATTTTTTCATTGTGTGTTTGGCTGAAAGAAGAAAGTCATTTACACTTAGGATGGCTTGAGAGTGAGTAAATTATGAGTGAGTAAATTATGATCAAATGAGTCTCTTATTTGATGTGACCAAAAATACAGTAAAACGGTAATATTGTGAAGTATTATTACAATTTAAAATAATTTTTTCTACTTTTAATATATTTTAAAATGTAATTATTTCCTGTAATGGCAGTCACACGATTCCTCAGAAATCATTCTAATATGCGGATTTGCTGTCCAAGAAAATGTCTTATTATAGTTGAAAACAGTAAAATATTGTTGTGTAATAATCTGTGATACACTTTCCCCCATTCTTTTAAGAATAGAAAGTTCCAAGCACTTATTTGAAACAGAAATCTTTTGTAATATTATAAATCTCATTACTGTCACTTTTGGTCATTGTAATGCATCCTTGCTCAGTATTAATAAAAGTATTCATTTGAATTTTACTGACCCCAAACTTTTGAACACTAATAAGGCCTTGGCCATCCATATCTCTAAATATCAAGATAGTATATTTAGCCAATATCAGTTGATAGTATCACCACTAATTCTGTTCAGATTTTCTATTACATACAAATTTCCTCTCAGTATTCATTGCAACATTTTTATCAGTCTGTAGGGAGTGATGAGCCAGATGTTTTCATTATAAAAGAGGAGAGACCTGACAACATGAGGTGTGAACAGTCAGAAAGAGAAACAGAGACTACTGAAAATCGTGAGTACAGGGCCTTTCATGTATTTGTATTGTTTTGTCCTTTGTAACTTATTGTAGGGGTTAAGTGTATAGCTCAGATCTGAGATCAGTTGACATGTCATTCAAGTCAACAAGACGACAAAATATGGCTTGTAAGGATTGTAAGAAGAAATGATCAAATCAAATAATAATGTTATAAAATTCACCAATATATGAAAAAGCTTGCATTACATCTACCTTGCAGTTGAAGATGACGCCCAGTGCCAGAGTGCAGAAGTCTTTGTAACGGTCCACAGAGAAAACATCATTGACCAGAACACAATCCAGCACTGCCATCAAGAGGTAGGAAACTGCATGTCTCCATCAGTGAGCTCAGGTGACCACTAAAAATGTATCAGGAATCATGGTGGCATTGTGCATTTTATCAGTCTGTAGGAGATGATGAGCCAGATGTTCTCATTATTAAAGAGGAGAGACCTGACAATATCAGGTGTGAGCAATCATTGGGAGAAACAAAGACTGCCGGAAATCGTGAGTATGGTGGGGTTTTGTTATTTGTAACTTATTTAAGGGATAATGTGTATAACCCAATGAGTTATTAGTACACACATCTGTATGGTGGAATAGATTTATAAAATGTCAATTATGCGAAAAAATGTTACTATTAATAATTGTTATTTATTTTATATGTTGTTTGTGTTTTTTATTATATTTATTTTCAAGAGAAAACTATTAAAATGCAACAAACATTTGAATGGAAATTGAGATTTAATATGGAAATGAATCTTTGTGTACCCTGAATTTTTTTTTTTTGGTTAAGATGACACCCAGTACAGGAGTGTGGGAAGCTTTGTAGCAGTTCATAGAGAGAACTTCATAGACCAGGACACAGTCCAACACTGCCATCAAGAGGTTAGTATGAGAGATGGTAAACTTTTGAATATACCTGTCTTTGTTTACAAATCAGGCTCATGACACAAAAACTGCTTTTCTACAGCTGTGACAATTTCCATACTTTTGCCCTTTTTTTGTTTCCATCATTTTTGTTCTCGCTTGTTAATTCGTGACGTATGGAATACTGTTTCCAGGTCCAAGCCTCCAGTCCGTTTCAACTGAGAATCTCAACAGCCATTTATAAGCACACTATTTAATTATAGGATACATTGAAGCTACACTACAGAGTCGATAAAGGAGATGTAGGTTAGGATCATGATTTTTTGGAAAAATTAGCACAGCTTTTTTGTTTGATATATGGATCTAAAAGAACGTTTGCTCCCAGGAACAGTGGATTAATTATTATTTTTTTAAACTTTTTTATGTTTTAGTTTAGTATAGTAGTATATTCAGATTAAAAGACAAATTGGTAACACTTTACAATAAGGTTTCATTTATTGACATAAGATAACTATGTCAGTTAACGAACTAACAATGAAAAATACTCTGAAATACTTCATTTCAACATTTACTAATACTGTAACTTGTTAAAATGAAACGTATCTGTTAATATTATTTAATGGACCTGAGCAAACATGAACTAACAATGAACAGTTGTATTTGTAACACTAATACAATAACACCGTTAACAAAGATTAGAAAATGCTGTAACAAATGTATTGCTCTTAGTTAGTTAGTTAGTTAGTTAGTTAGTTATAGTGTTGTAACTAACGTTAACTAATGGGACCTTATTGTAAAGTGTTACCAACAAATAAAATTTCAGATTTCACAGTATAGCGATAGTATGTCAAAAGTACAAAAAACTAAATTTTCACTGTCAATGCTTTGTTCTTTTGGCAGCCCAATGAAATGCAACCTGGTCTTGTTGAGGACGAAAACCCTGAAATGTATGACAGAGGTGAAGGTGCACATTTACTCAATGGTAATTAGAAATTTGTTTCATTTATTCAATGGCTTATTTTATAGATCACCTGATGTGAAGTGTCTGTTTTACAAATGAATCCATCACATTCTTGTTGTGAGCCTGTATTTAAAGTAACACCAGGTTACTTTTGCTCTCGGGGTGGGGTCCCCCTACAGTTGGGAAACAGTATTGTCCTCTAGACCTCTACTACTGTCCTAAACTCTGTCATCCTACATGCACGTGCAATTGTTGACAACCATGATAGCCCTGAACACTGTAGGAGGAGGTCACATGCAGGTGTTCTGCTTGCGTCTTGTGTGAAATGTCTTCATCCCAGGTACAGTGGCATATATTTCAGCATGTCATATGAATATAATTTCATGGGTTTTATTTTTTTTCTAACGACAAATGATCACGTTTAAAAGCCAGCGTCATTATAGTAGCCTAGTCTATTGGTTACCGTTTTACTGGATCTATATGATACTTCAATGCAATGTTTGAGTGGTAGATAATAATCATATATCGTCAATATTGTAATATCAAGCTACCATAAATGATTCTGCAAATTTTACAAATCGATTTGCATTATAGCTTGAGGCAAGACAAATATCACAGACATGTTAGGTATCCTAAAATATGATTTTGTACATCTTATATATTTACTTGCAAGAATGTAGCCCCTACCAAACTTGTGCACGCCGTTTAGACATAGGCTTTCATTTGACTTTTTTTTTTTTGCCAAGTCCGCATCGGTCGGGCACCCCTCCTCCTCCTTCAGCTCACGCCAGCGAGAAAATGCTGGCCCAATGTTGATCCTCATTCTGCCTTTAACGCGATCACTTTCTCTTTTTCTCTTTTTGCTTTGCTCCGATAAAACCTTTGCTTTCTTGTTTTTCTGTGCTGCTTCGGCCATGACTATAACATTTGGCTCGCACGTCCGATTTTAAGGAAGTGGTGGTGGTGGTGGTGGAAGTGACGTATATGCCGTAAAGCAGTCGAATTTTGTAGTTCTCTTTGTTCGCCGGTTACTACCCGAAACCCGAAGTTTAAAAGTACGATTAAAAACGCTACAGACCCCGTCAGGCTATGGCAGACGTGTCATTTAACCTATTGTAAGTCGATGTACCATCACAAGAGACATGGAAGTATATTATGAAGGTTGAAAAGTTACCTGGTGTTACTTTAAGGGACGTAATAAGTAGACATTTGCTCACTTTTTATGTAATTTCCATTTAAGCATGTTGTATTTCACAATAGGTGAAACCAGAATGGAGAGGGGTTGTGAGGAAGAAGCAGAGACTAACCCACAGCCTATCCCTTCCTATGCCTCATGGGTTTCCAGAAGATTAAACGTAACCACAAACCATCCATCCTACGGTGAATCTGAATGCAACGGAGGACCTTCTGTGAATCAGTTCTTGATGTACAGAGGGAGCGCAGATCCTATGTGTTCCTATGCAACTCCAATAGACTCTAATGGCTTATCTATGCCTGATATTGAAGGCCATTTAACACAACGCAATGGTGGTACCAACATTTCTCAATCCGAGCAGCCCCCTTTCACATCGTGCTTTTCTTTCAAACAGTCAAATTCTCCTCAGATGCAAAGGAAAGACAAGTTTATGTGTAAACATTGTGGAAGAGCATTCTCTCAACCCAGCACTCTCCTCTTGCATCAAAAACTCCATACCAGGGAGAGGCTCCACAACTGTACACTCTGCGGTAAAAGATTCAGCCAGGCGTCCAGTCTCAAAAGACACCACAGCATCCATAGAGGAGAAAAACCATTCAGATGCCTGCACTGTGGCAAGCAGTTCTCAGATCAAAGCAACCTCAAAAAGCATGTGACTGTTCACACAGGTGAAAAGCCTTATGGTTGTAACCTCTGTGGAAAAATGTTCAACCAGTCGTCGAACCTCAAAACGCATATGAAGATCCACACACGTGAGAAGCCTTTCGGTTGCGATCGATGTGGGCGGATGTTTGCACACAAGTACATTCTGGTGAAACACCAACAGAGAATCTGTGTGACTACTGGACAAATGTAGACTTCACAACAAGTCTTCCACCTTATTTTTCAATGCGGAAGTAAGCTAGTTTCTTTCTGAGACATCCGACTCATCGGCCTCTATACGGAAATAACAAGATATTAACAAAAATACGGGAAGAACAATTTGCACTACAAACCAGTGTATTTATCATTATGATAATAAATTAAAACAGTATATTAAGAAATACCAGTTTGCATTGTCAAGCGGCACTGTTTTGTACAGCTAAAATACCTGGAAGCGGTTGACACCGCTGCACCGCTGAAAAATAATGTGGATAGAATATGGTATCTCTCTCACAATTAGACATGTGCCGGTATTCGGTAATGCGATAAATCGCGGTAATGAATATGCACGATATTGTTATCGCGGGGACTTCGAAATACCGTGAAAAATAATAGATCCGAATTTAGATTTTTAGAACGCGCATCAGCTTATTTTCCATCAACCGCTTAAAAAAACAATGCGAATGCTGCGCAAAACACGTGCGCACTTTGATGTAAACAATCCCCACATCACATGTATAAGCACTGTGTGCATGCAGTGCACTCTAGTCTAATGTAAACAATCCTCACGTGGAGAAGAAGCACGGCGGAAGGAGGAACGCTGCCGACTATTTATCCCCCGCATGGCTGCCAACTCTCACGCATTCAGCTTGAGACTCACGCAATTGACACTTTCACACGGTCTTGCGCCACACATCCATTTTCTCACGCAGAGAAAAATCGCGGAGCAAAGAGGACACTGACACCGACAGACTAGACAGAGCAGGTTACTTTTGATATGAAAAAAACATCAGCTCTCAGGTTCTGTCCATTTTATAACGAAATTCAGACAATAAATACTGTTTTGCTGCTTGTAAATGTGACGTGACAGATCGCGCGCCTCAGTTCAAGTAAACCGATCATCTGTTATTTTTTATTAAAGATACAGTACAACCCACCGAAAGGTACGTACTTTCGATCAATCAGTGTTTTTCAACCACGGAAAGAGGTCAATAAAACTGCAGGAGAACAATTATGTCACAGAACGTTACATTTACCTCAGGAAAGCCATTTAATGTTAGTTGACTATAAGAAAATAGCTATAGAGAGGAGTATTTTGCTAAATATGTGCACTATATTACATATTTTAATATATGTTTACTTGTCATTATATAATTGTTATTATAATGAAAATTACGGCATATTACATTTTTATATTTATATTATTATTATATTTATATTGTATGCATTATATTTAATTTCTCTCTGTATGTTTACAGCATTATGTGAGATATTTTTTCTTGAGAAAAATTTAAATGCAGGCTATCTACTGTAGCCTACCTAATATTTATCCAAATGAGTCAATATTGAATCAAGATTGAAATTAAATCCAAGAATTTAATTGAAATCGTGAAAATTGTGTTAAGCAATAATACAAACAGTAGCCTCAGTAACTGTACCATGTAAACATTGTAACATGTTGTCACTAAAAAATAAAATTAATGTTTTGACAATCACAATTACACATTGTGATGCAAGTTTTTTTTAGATACCCCCAATCCATCTGTTTCTCTTGTGCAATTAAAATATCGTGATAATACCGTATACCGTGATAAAAGCTCAATCAATTAATCGCAGCATGAAAATTTGATACCGGCACATGCCTACTCACAATAGATGAATTTTTGTTTGCTGCATCCGAAATCGCATACTTCCCTATACTGTATAGTAGGCGAAAAACAGTTTGTGACAATGAAGTATATCTGAATTCACATGTAGGCAAAATGTACCCGGATGACCTACTACTCCCACTGAGATTCTGAAATATGGACATTTTACACTGTCCCATGAGGCCACGGTAGAGGATTTGTGAATTGCAGTGAAGCGACGCAACGGACGCTGGTAGGTCACGTTATAATGACAAGATGGCAAATACATTCGAATTACATTCATACTACACGCATTCATACTATATAGAACATGCTTTTTTAGCGGTCGTGAAGTAATTATTTATTCAAAATAATTACTTACTCGAGAGTAAGCGATTTTGGACGCTTTCTAAAACCATTTCCTTTTCGCTAGTTAACATCACTAATCCCTTTCAACCGCTTCCCACTAACCACCTGGTTACATTCTGAAACTGCCACTTTTGATTATCCAAACAATTATCTTTGGATAAAATCAAGTACCTACATTTTGTTTTTTTCATTGAATATCCTGTTTCACTGAGAAATGCATCAGATTTCTGAAGCAAACTGGGTTACTATCAGTTTCATGTTGACTTCATGTATGTATGCAGTGTGCAGTAGATTTCCCTTTTCAAAATGTTTGAAATAACTCTACATTAATTGGAAGAAATGTTAAAGAGTATTGTATATATCTTACCTTAAAATGACTGCTGTTATGTAACGTCAGCAACTTTAATACTAATAAATTCATGCACCTTCAAGCAAAGGATCTCTGATCATTGCATAGAAAACAACACCTGGTTCTCAAAAAAATAATTCTTGGTCTGCATTAAAACTGCGGTGTAATGTAAAGTTGTCCATTTATAGTAAATAATGGTCTTTGAATTCCAAAATATTACAGAAGCTATGATTGGTTAAGGCTGGTTTATAGTACAAGTTCTAGTACATTAGTAACATTTTTATTTAACAGTAGTAGTTACATTGAGATGTTTATTTTCACCAAACCAAAAATGCACATTAGATATGGTATATTTAATAGAATTGCCATACATGGTAACGTATATACAGAAAAATAAATGCCTCTATAAATCATCCAAATTTTTTGGTTAAAAAAAAGTCATGTTGATTTGTATAGGTGGTTATAAAACATAAAAACTTTTTTTTTCAAATAATCTTACAAGTTTGTATCACACCATAGTCCAGACTTTTTAGTATATATACCCTACGGCTTCTGTCAAGATGATTTATGACCCTATGATTGACAGGTGGGAGGGGCTAACCTTTGACCTTCCGGAGTGTGTTCCGGAGGTCCCTTTGATCTAGGGATGACCCTTTGACCTATCGATCGATCAAGTTGACAGTTGTCTTTGATCTGGGGTATGCCGGTTGTCTTTGATGTGGGTGTATAATCATTTATTTTGACAGTTGTCTTTGCCCTATTGACCTTTCTATTATACGTCAAGTTGCCAGTTGTCTTTGATCCAGGACAGTTGTCTTTGATCCGGAGATATTATAGAATAAAATCATCTTACTTTATCAGACGTTCCCCAAAGATGTTCCTCCAAGTGACTCTCTCTCTCTCTCACCGGCCTTTTTTCATGACAGCCATGGTCACCGCACTAAGCATCTGCATCTGTGTGTGTGTGTGTGTTACATGATACCCTCCGCATTCCTGAAGCAGGGGCTATAAATTTGCGGGGCTGTGAAAGTGAGAAAATATCGTGCACTAACTAAAGTTGAAACCATGGTTCATTTAAAAGTATATAAATTAGGGCTGTCAAATGATTAATCACGATTAATCACATCCAAAATAAAAGTTTTTTTTACATAATATATGTGGGTGCACTGTGTATAATTATTTTATATATATAAATACACACACATGCTTGTATATATTTAAGAAATATTTTCATGTATATACTGTATATAGATTTATATATAATTTATATTATATATAAATATAAATATTTTATATATAAATAATATTTTTTTCTTAAATATACATGCATGTGTGTGTATTTATATATATACAAAATAATTATACACAGTGCACCCACATATATTATGTAAAAAAAACTTTTATTTTGGATGTGATTAATCGTGATTAATCATTTGACAGCCCTAATATAAATGAAATGCTTTTATCATTCATTGTAAAATAAATAACTAAAATGTACTGATCCAATTATCTTAGATAAAAAAATAAATAAAATGCTTTTCTCATTCATTGTAAAATAAATAACTAAATGTACTGATCCAATTATTTTAGATAAAAAATCACCCCACATGTTTTATAGATTAGAAGAAAACATACAGGTTGCTAACGGGTGACAAAAAATAAAACCATCTTACTTTCCCGGCTGTCCCAAGATGTTGAATCATTTAAAGATCCCAGATTGTTTTCTCTCTCACAGCGAGGCTGTGGCTGACCAGCACCTTTTGGTCTTCTATGTATGTGCGTGTGTGTGTGTGTGTGTGTGTGTGTGTGTGTGTGTGTGTGTGTGTGAGTGAGTGAGACGCCATCCCATTCCTGCACTCTTGCTGGGACAGTGAGAAAATATCTCACACTGGCTAGAGTTGAAACCATTCAGTTCTTTCAATTGATATAAATGAAATTACAAATATTTCACACCAAACCAATTATTTTAGATAAACAAATAAATAAAATGCTTTTCTCATTCATTGTAAAATAAATAACTAAATGTACTGATCCAATTATTTTAGAAAAAAATCATCCGGCATGTTTTATAGATTAGAAGAAAACATACAGGTTGCTAACGGTTCACAAAATAAAACCATCTTACTTTTTCACCGAGTTGAAGAAGTAGTTCCTAAGATGTCCATACAATATGAATGGTTTACAAAAGATGTAAAAGATGTAGGGCTGTTTTCGACTAAGGATTTTCATAGTCGAATCTGATTCGTTAGATTTGGCCGTAGTCGACTGATAGTCGAACCTTTTTTTTTTTTTTTTTAGATAGCAGCTATACGTTCGGTTGAATAACTGTTCGTCTGTTATTCATGGGTTTCAGTCACGTGACTTTTTTGTTGTGGCCGCCATCTTTAGGACCATTGCGTTAAATCGCATAATCTCTCCCTGGTGATCGGAAAGATGTTGCACACTTAAATAGCACAGATGAAAAGCAACGGTATACCCTTTGACGCGTACGATCACACCGGTGTGATCAGTCTTGGCTGGTCCCTGGAGCGTACGATCACACCGGTGTGATTAGAACGGTCAGTGCATCACGTGATCAACTGCTAAATTCAAACGTGCTTTCGCGCGTTGGCTGGCGCTGAGCCAGAGACAGACGCACTCAGTGCTGTCATATATCACAACTATTGAGTATTTTAAACCACATAATGTTTATTTTAGGTTTCAGACATTTAAATACACATAAGTACTAGCAAAACAGTGATTTTGAATTAGTAAAATAGACACTGATGTCTATGGAAACGGCAACAATAATCATTTCCATTATAATAAGACAAAACGTTTTATTCATATCAGATACACATTGTGTAAGTAGCTTTACATTTTACCCTATTCTTCTCCTAGTTCACCGGTC